TTGACAGAAATTGAACAGTTTAGAGCAATCCTAAGGTGTCTTATTGGTCCAGTAAGGAATTAAAGTTTACTGATCTTGAATTATGCTTAATTGATTTTCCTAGTTAGTTTTTTCAATTAAAAGGCCTGAAACGCCCCTTAAAAACCATAATTCAAAAGGCTGAACTGTGCCTTTAAAGTCACTTGATTTGCATAAATGTGCTAACATACATGCATAAACAATTTCATAATAATATACACGCCCCAGCCTAGACCTAGGCCTTCTATTTTTATTTATATTTTTTTAATATTCAGCGCTTTTTCACATGAAAAGACTGGGACTAGGTGATTTTGGGGGCGGGGCGGAGGAAGGACACAAGCCTGACGCACGCGAAAAAATAGAAGGCCTAGTCACAGAATAGATGTGGCCTAGTGGATTTCCCAACAACAAGGCCAAAACTGCCCTGAAACTGCCCTGGTTGCGAAATGCCCAATTATTGCGTTCTCAAACAGAATTATTTGCAACTTAACAGCGAATTTAAACCGATACAGGTAAAATAAACTCATTTATAGTATAAATTTACTATTTTTATTTGTATACACGTCTAGAAAATCGGGGGTTTTATCATAAAGTTTGAAGCAACACTATTATTATGTTGACAAGGTGAAGCGAAAGCACAAAATAATAATTCTTTTATTCGCAACTCGCAAGACAATCTCTGTTTTGCTTTGAATAACTATATTTGCGAATTGGGAATGAGGATTTTGAAATTATTGTTCAAATATTACGGATATACCATTTGTAAACAATGTACGTTTTTATATACAGTACTGTACGGGCTAATAATATATGTATCCGTTTTATTTAATAAATTATAATTGTATATGTGTTTGTATATTTTACAAACACAAGACTGCTTCTTGCCAAAATTGAGAAAATATATATTAATGTAGTTGTGTATAAGACAAAATTTCATGAAAGATTCTACTTTTGGTACATATTTTGACTCATTTTGTGCTTTCGCTACACCTTGTCAACATATAATTAAATAATAGTGTTGCTTCGAACTTTATGATAAAAACCCCGATTTTCTAGACGTGTATACAAATAAAAATAGTAAGTTTATACTATAAATGAGTTTATTTTACCTGTATCGGTTTAAATTCGCTGTTAAGTTGCAAATAATTCTGTTTGAGAACGCAATAATTGGGCATTTCGCAACCAGGGCAGTTTCAGGGCAGTTTTGGCCTTGTTGTTGGGAAATCCACTAGGCCTTCTAGGCTTGCTTCCTCCGCCCCGCCCCCAAATCACCTAGTCCCAGTCTTTTCATGTGAAAAAGCGCCGAGTATTAAAAAAATATAAATAAGACTAGAAGGCCTAGGTCTAGGCTGTACACGCCCTTGTGCCTTTCGCGCTTAGACGTCGACTTTTTGCGGTTTTCAGAGGACAACGCCCAATTGAATCTAGAAGTGCATACGTCACGCAATTTTCAATCCGTCTAAACTTTGGGTATACGCATTGCAATGTGGGATACATGTGGGTCAATTATTCATTCTTTGACAATAACGTGACGTAAGGACTTCTAAGATCAATTGAATTAGCTATATATAAGTAGATAAATTAATAAGTCAATAAACATTGATGTTACATACCAACACAAGCACCATTTATAGCAATGTGGTTTGCGTCTTTACAGTAACATCTGAACGAGCCATCTTCATTAGCACAATTTTGATCAACTGGGCATACAGCAGGAGTTTGGGTGCATTCGTTGAAATCAACTGGAATAAAAGAAAATTTTATATATATAATAAGATATTAAAACTAGACTTACAAATTTGAAGTGCTCAGAAACATCCAAAAGTATGTTTCATCAGTGTCGAGCTCAACGTTGTAAATCAAAACATCTAGGAAAAACAGCAGGAAATTCTCGTTATTCCATATCATCTATACACTTCAATAGATGGAATTAATTGATTAAAATCTCTATATTTAAACACGGTAGATCGATAAATGGATATAAATTAAACGAACATGTGTAGATAGATAGATTGACAGGCAGATAAAGTTGAAAAAGGCGAATAACAGAGGGGGGCTACAGTCTCTTTGAACTGAACATATTAATATTTGCTCACTCAATTTGGTTTTGGTTAAGGCACTTTAATTAAAAATCAATATTGTGATCATCAAATAAATATTGTTATCATCGATTGATGTAGTTTGTTTTTCAATGAGAAAACCCCCCAACAAAACAAAGTGAAAAAACAAAAGTTAAAATCTTCAAGCTTGTGTCCGAGAAAATATTTAGACATGTAAAAAAAAAGAGAACCAGGAGGATAACACTGAATCACTTACCAACACACATGCCGAGGTATACAGCTTGCTTAGCCGGGCAGTTACATCTAAACGATCCGTATCTATTACTGCATACTGATCCCATTGGACAGCTGTGGTTACCATCACATTCATTCACGTCTAAAGGATAGAAGTTATTCGCGATTCAATTGAATTGAAATATAGTGGAAGTGGAAAACTTCATTGCCCTAAACAGCTATGAGAAATCTTCCATAATGTTACGCTCACACGAACACGGCTTAGATTCAGGTCCTCATATACACACGAGAATCAGTGAATCTGACCTACTATAGGTCACTTCGTTTAACTTGGTATAACATGCATGGAGTTCAGCATAAACAATCTTTAAAATAGGAAATATGTTGTTTTTTCTTACCAATGCAGTCTCCATTCACAAGGTTAGTATTTGCAATACATTGATAACAGATATAGGATCCCAGTGTGTTGGTACACTTCATTCCAGTTGTGCAAGGGTTTCCTGCGCATTCGTTCACATCTGTAAAGAAAACATGGACGTTATTTACATTATTACTCTAACATTTCTTATACACAAAACAATACAATTGTTCAACATACTTTCAACACTCGAAATAAATCTGGTATTTCCAAGCACCCATGTATTATTCTCTATATTATTGCTAGAACACAACCACCAATAATCCACCGATCTTTTTCACATCAGCTCTTTGCTTATATATACATTTCCATATATATCGAATGTTAAGGCCTTGTCACACAATTGCGTATGAGAGAAACATATGAGAAGCGTATGAAAATTAATGAAATAATTTCCATACGCACAAAAATCCTTTGAAATGCCAGCGTATGAGTACCGTACATCTGGCGTACCTCTAGCGTATTCAGCGTGTGCCTAGAGTATGCTTATCGTATAAAGCATACGTCCGATACGCACAAAATTTTTGAACATGCTTAAAAAAATTTTTCTACCTCGCCGTATGCCAGCGTATGCCACCGTATGCGACCGTGCTTGAAACGTATACAACCTATGCTTAACGTACCCCTAGCGTATGTCAGCGTATACCGGCGTACAGTATGAGTGATATTTTTCATACGCTGGCATACGCTAGTACGATACGCAATAGTGTGACAGGGCCTTAAGACCCCGGCAAACTAGGACGAGAGTTGGCAAGCGAGGCGTTTTGTATGAAAGTTTTCTCTACACTCATGTCCCGGTCAAACGACATGAAGAACTGCACGAGAGTTGAAGAGATTGAGTTGATTGGATAAATTACCACGCGCAGCAAAAACCAGAGAGTTGGTGATCAGACGTGAGGTAGAGTTACAAGTCAACTCTCGTTTGCACCTTAAGCTTAAAGATACTGTAAAGTCCGTAATGTAAACAAACGCTTTGTTTACATTTTGAACTCAGTGCTACAGTTGTAAAATATGATTAGATATATAGTATACTGAATTTTTAACACTCTTCTATTTCGCTATGCTTGTAAATGAATACAGACTACAGATTCAATTCAAGAATGTTCGGAAGGTGCGAAATATTAATAACATTCCAATGGTCGGGTCCCGACCATTGGAATGTAGGCCTGCGCAGAACGGATTTTACAGCATCTTCAACAGTTTTTCGCATCACGTCATAATTAAGAATGTAAAAACAATGAGTGACTGGATGGTACACAAAACATTGATATTTTCAAAACAATGGACAGAAAATAGGACATTCCTATGGTTGGATAATTGTGACTGGTTGGCATTGCTGTGGTAAATGTTGAAAGAGCTAGCATACCTCCCTGATAGTTGAATATAATATAGCAAAATACTTACCACGACAGTTGACAATGCCATCACCAGAGTAACCGTCACGACATGTACAAGTAAAGGATCCGACAGTATTGTTGCAGTCTGCATTTCGGTCACATTTCTCAGGTGCAGTCGAGCATTCATCAATGTCTAATAAGAAATCGTATCTTAAAACTATTGTAAACATAATATTTGGGTTTATATTAAGTGTTTATTTGTTTGATGTCAATTACATAGGGTTTGGTTGTCACCTCAGCATCGTGATAAAGTTGCGTAAAAATAAAGGCGTAATTAGGGTTAGCTTTTGGTGAAGGAGGAAAACCACTAAAGAGAAAAACACTCGAAGTACAGAAGAAAAACCACAAACTTTACTTACAGGGCGGTTTAATACCGTACCACCTCCGGTAAGTGCTTTTCACATCAACCATTTTTATTTGGATCAATAAAAGTTTCATTATACGTATAAGATTTAGGATCGCTCATACGGTTTGTCTTAACGTGGATATATGATTTTATGCAATAAAAATAATTAACTTCGAGAACGAATGTGTGCGTGTTGTTTATGCATAGATATTAATTATATATTCATATTAGTTATTGCAGGCTTACCAAGTTTATTTAAGCCGGGGAGCTCACAGGTATAGCTCATTGCTTGCCGACTTTCACGTTCGCAACGTGCCCACCCACCCAATCCCCTTTGTCCGCACTTGTTTTTTCTTTGGGGGGGGGGGGGGGGATGGGCTGCTTACTTGCTCTGCTTTCAGTTTTTGCAAACCTGCGGAGGTGTGGGTTGCATCAGCGTTTCCTGGTCGCTGCTGACCAGAGGTGCCTGTTTCGTTATTTGGTGTATTGTCATGTATTGTTGTTTTTGGTCGACAATCCAGACGCGTGGGTTGCATCAGCGTTTCCTGGTCGCTGCTGACCAGAGGTGCCTGTATCGTTATTTGGTGTATTGTCATGCATGTATTGCTGTTTTTGGCCGACAATCCAGACGCATCCCTCGGTAGTTTATTGTGTGCCGTCGCCTTATTTGTTATCGTAGTGTTATCGATATTTTTTGTTGTTGTTACGTCACGTGAGGGAGTGCACTGTCGTTTACGCCAATTGTTGTCTTGTTTGATATTTTTTCGTTGTGTTTACCTGCCGCGTCCGCTCGCGGGCATACCTCCAGCTATTCTGGATGATTATTCCTATTGTTGCTCAAATTGGTTTTAACACTACCCTGCTTTTTTTGTAGTCGCGTACGCTGAGCTTTTCATTCTTTTCAGCTACAGTCTGGTATTGTTCTTTAGCCTTGTCAGCGAGTATTATTTTTGTTTGGTCTTGTATATTCTGTCCATTGGGTAAGTCTTTGAGTGTGTGTTTTTATGTGTGTGTTTTTGTATTCCGGATTCCACTTTGTGTGACAATAGTTCTGTCTTTGGAGAGGTGATTTTTCGGCATCTTTGGGATTTGCCAAGCCGGGATAGTCGTTGGTCGGTAGCTTGAGTACCTACTCGACAGCCTAATTGACTGAGTTCGTGGTTACAGCCTTCTAAACGTGGCATGCATCCTCTCCAACAGAGCTATACCCTCCAAAGAACTGTCTTGCTTACTAAGATCTGTCGTGCTTGGTGTACTATTACATTATATGTTCTTGCTATTCGTTCATCGAGTGATCGCACGTTAACACTTAGTAAATTGTTGAATATATAATCAATTTATTTCAACTTACCATCACAGGTTATACCATCTCCGCTGTATCCGTTATTACACGTACAGTTGTATGAGCCACGTGTTTCACATCCAGCAGAAACATGGCAAAAAAATAAGTTCCGAGCACATTCATCGATGTCTGACAAAGCATAACGATTTAAATTATTATTGAGCACCACAAATTTAAAGTCACAAAATTTGAAATCTAAGTCACATCCATCTTTGTTTTGAGCCAGGCACACTCAGTAAAAACGAAGTTAAAATAAAAACTTTTACTTACTTTTCACTTTTACTTAATCGCCATCGTTGATTTTCAAATTTCAAAATGACTTGGTCAATGTACTCATAAGATAGGTCGTTTTTAAGCTATATTTAAAGCACTCTGGTGCATTCTGTGTTTTATAGAAAATCGACAACACCCGACAGTTACCTCGTATTTTAAATCTGATAAAGTAGTCCTATCCTGCTTTATATAGTACATAAACCTAATTGTTTTATTGTCATCTTACCTAGGCATACGTTGTTTTGATAATCATATTCTTTTCCAGCTGCACAACGACATTGATAGCCAGGCTCTGTATTAATACATGTAGAATTATCTCTACATGGATTAGAACCAATACACTCGTCAAGATCTATAAATGTATTACACATGAATCAATACATAGCATTTGAATCCATTTTCTTTATTGCAAATGTAGTATATAACATTCTGTCAGTTCAAACAATGCGTTCTTGTTTGTGATGCTACTCTGAGTGTATATATCCACAGCGGGCAAGCTTGAAAAATATGCCTAGACGTGGTGGGAACATCAGTAACATCATGCACAAACATATTCACCTGAGTACATATAACACCAACACAGACAAAAATGCATGCATGCGTTGTTTTCTATATATATATATATATATATATATATATATATATATATATATATATATATATATATATATATATATATATATATATATATATAGTGCTTAAGACCGTTTTCCACTTCGACGGTAGATATCGAAAATGACGTTTAGAATTCGAATTCGAAATGATTAGAGTAATAAATCATTTGTTTGGTTTGGCAAATTGCGAATGAACAAAAGAGAGATACTTTCGTCAAATTTGTGCATGTGAAGTCTATTAAGACTAGTACTTCTGAAGTTCAAGTAATAAATTAACTTGAACGTGTTGTGAATGAGTCCTGGTCGCATAAATATGGATGGAAATTCCATTATGTTGGAACAATAGGTATTTCAATTGAACAGTTGCTCGACAAGGAGCTTCTCTCGAGTGTCAGTGCTGTTTTTGAATAGCTGGAGGGCTAGTGTCATACCTTACTATGTGACTACTCACCCTCCAGCTATTCAAAAACAGCATTGACACTCATTGAACCTCCACTCGTTGAGTGCGAGCGAGCTTTTAGAGTACGGGCTTTATTCCCTAACCCCTAACCCTACATGGCTGCCAGAACGTCACATTGTAAATCCCTCGCGTATATAATAGACCTTGCTATAAGGTATCTAACACATATTAATACGTAATGTTTATATAAAGTATCAAATATGTTATAAAATACTGACCAACACATGAGATTCCATCTCCAGTATGTCCGTCAATACATTTACAATCGAAAGACATTTCAGTATCCATGCAGGTTGCGTTTGCATGACATGGGCTGTACAACTCACATTCATTTGGAGCTAGAAAACATCAAAACAAATTCATCAATGCAACTTTTTTATACGTTTACAATGAAAACGAAGATTAGACCTTTTACTGAGCGTTATAGTTATATACAGTGAGTGAGGCATAAAGGCCGTATTAGAGCCAACATTTTAAGTTTCCAACTAGCCTTAACAAAACAAAGAAGACACCAAAAATTATTCTAGGGGGTTCATAGGTTTCAGTTTTTAGTTTTTAAAGCTTTTCATTTGCATCTGGATTTCTCAGAAATGTGAATAATATTTTTCTTCACGTGGGGATGATTTTAATGTATTGAACAGGGGTGGAAAAAGTATCGGAACCTGGAAACCTAGTTCCCAGAAATTTTTTTGAGTTGAGAGCTTTGCAGAAAATTTTCCAGAAAATATTTCAACATTTTGAGATAACTCTGTTTACTCAACTTACAAGTTACAACTATTCTACTTTATTTATTAAACACTGTACATGCTAACATCAGCAGTTTTTAAATATTTGACAGAAATTAATTCTTTTACCCACCCCTGCCATCACAATGAGGTAAAATGGTAAATATATGCTCTGCAAAGTGTCCAATAAAATGCAAATTAAATAGTAAACAAATAAAAGTGATGGAATAAATAAGATGATAGGACACTTAGTTAATTTAAGCGTTAGATCCTCACTAGTTGGTCATAACTCATAACTGTGGTATATAACAGACAACTATTGTGATGTATGAGCAGCTTAAAGCCTATTATTACAAGCCCTATTATTTCTAGCCTTCGACCCAGGTTCCCAGAAAGAAAAAAAAATTTCCACCCCTGGTATTGAATGTCAAAAATTCATGATTCAAAAACATATGGTTTGTTGCATACCTTGAAAATGTGGTCTGGAAAGGAAAGGCTATTGATCTGTTTTGCTAAACTGCTGGATCTGATCGACAGTATTCCTTTAACCATTGTTTGTCCTTTTGTTTATACTTAGAGATCTTTGTTATACCTAGTGATCTATCTCAACACTTATGACAACATTCTCCTGCCTCTCATTCTATTCTG